GCCCCGCTCCTCAGTGCTCCCCCAGAGAAAAGCAGTCAATCACTCCCATCTCCCCGATCTCCGGCCGCACTCCGTGCTCACCCGGCCTGTCACCGAGTGTTTCTATCTCTGGCACCGACCCCGTGTGGAGTCTCCAAACCCAGCAGATCCCTGCGGTGCGCTCCCCTGTTGCTCCTCCGGAGGGAGGAAAGGGAGTCTCCCCGGATCTGCTGCTTGTTGGGTCCCTACTGGAAGAGCAGTGGCTCGACTGTGTCACAGATCACGGTTAATGGCAACCCCAAGCGGCGAGCCCACTCCTCGGCTCTGTCTCTGCAGCCCACTTCCCTGCTCTGATACCTGGGAGCTCTGCTGCACTCAGGCACCCCCGGTGTTTCTGTGACCCCGAGGGTCCTGAGACCACACTGTCCTAGCGAGGGTTCCACCCCCCGCTTAGCCATTGGAGTGATGTCCCTCAGCGGAGCAGACTTCTTAAAGTTCCGATTTTGTGCTCTGCTGCTCTATCACTTGCCGGTAGCGCTGACGGAGGCCCCCTCCCTGTCTATCTTTCTGAAGATCGCTTCGGATTCACTTCTGCACATGTCCTACCTTCCAGAACGTGGTCGCTTTTCTGTTCAGAGAGTTGCTGCTATTCTTTTCTTCGATCTCCTGTTGAGTTCGTAGGTGTTCAGAATGCTTTGATCCCTATCTAGCTGAATTCCCGGGACCGGACGAAATTTAGGTCTCCTAATCCTCCACCATCTTGCGTCTCCCCCTCAGACTGAGGTCCATATTTTTAATGTCAACATATTAACTGTTTCAAGATAATTAGATCCCTTCTCTTCTCAACATGTGTTTCCACTTGGAAAAAATTACTGTTTTTCTAAAGACAGCAAAAAATTTTTCATTTATTTCCCCATGTAATCTTTAATATAGCCATTCAATTTTGAAAGTATGACTGGTATTCTTTTAATCAGTTCTTCAAATGAAGGAAAAGGTTAAAATCTACATAATAATTTCTAGGAAAATAAAAATAACAAAAAATGCTCCAGTGAGGTGTGAAAATTATATTTTTATAAAATAGAATCTGATTTATTGCTCTCTGTGTGTATATATGTGTAAAACCTTCTATACATATATACACATATATGTATAGACATATATACGCATACACACATATATGTGTAACATATATGCACATACATGTGTAAAACCTGGCATATATAAAATTTCTGCGTTTAACATTATGGTATGCAAAACTTGTCAATGTTAAACAGGGCAGCTAAGAAACTTAGTGACATTTTAAGAACTGACCAATGTTAGTTCAAAATGCTGAAAAAAATAATTCTTAACAAAATCAAGAGGAATTGAAGATGCTGAATTAAGCTTCATGTAACTGCATTTGCACTAAACTATAGCAATATACCACCCAAAAACAATGAAATGACAAACTAAAATTGTAAAGGCCTTCTTAAATGAGGTTTTACTCCAATTTACAATCAGCAATTTTAGGAATGTTAAATACTTTTTTAAAGTATAGTAATATTTAAAGTAGTTCAAACTGATATACAAAATTTAAAAGCCAAAATTCTAATATCAGCATATTCTTTACTCACTTGATGTTTGACAATTTGTCCTAATGCCAGATTTAAATCCACTTGGCATTTACCAAACAGTTTCAGATAGCTGCTACTCCCTGGTGAAGCTTTGGTTTGAAGTCGATTCGAAAGTTCCAGCTCTATCAATCCAGTTTCAAACCTGACAGCTCTCATTGATGGAGTAGTAGCTGTTACTTGAATACCCTAGCAGATTATATGTTAGGAGGAAAAAAAGAATCTTAAATCAACAATAGGCACTCACTCAAAAGAAATCTTTCAATATGATAAAATAGCCACATTTTAAAACACATATGGGCTATCTAATAAGCTGATAAAACTGGCAACATTCTTTTATTTCTCTTATTAGTAGGGAATTTTTTAGCTATTAAATTTCATTTTAACATTTTGTATTTAACATCTGAACTGTTCATGAGTTAAATACATTAATTATAGTTAACTATTTGGTAATAGTATTTTTAACACTGATATCTTAAGTACTGGAAACATTAAGGTCTCTATTAAGGTATTATTGTTAATTGGACAAATGTACAAAATATTTCTTACAGAGTAACTTATAACTGTAATAATTAGAAAAATAATCAAAATATTTACCAGCTGTATAATAAATAGTACAGCTATTCAGGAAGATAAAGTTGATCTATATGTTCTGGCATGGAAAAGTATTCAAGGCCTTTAAAATGTAATAAATATATGCATATATAAAAATACAAAGAGAAATAGTTCTAAAGGACATTCAACTGCTAAAGCTTTTTCTCTTGAGTGGATGCGGTCATATGTCCTTTTTATTTTCTACTTGCACATTTATGTATCATATGAATTTCCTATAACTAGAATACATTAAATACTTAGAAAAATACTTTGAAAAGTATAATTACTTATATGTTACCTTAAACTGCAAGTTCAGGGAATAAAGCAGAATTTTAGGCTTATCTCCATCTGCTGTTCCATCATGCTCATTCCAAAGAGGAATAGGCTGCTCCCCACCTAAACAGATTAAGTAATTGAAGGTCTGGGGTATTCACTTTAAGAGGAAAATAATAATTATTTTGTGCATTTAAAAAAAGATAAAACAGTTAATTTCTTTTTTCTAATCATTAACTCAATCCTTAATAGGGAACTGTAGCCATGTCACATTTCACTGACACAGATATATATATATATATATATATATATTTTAGGGATAATACTGCATATATAGATAGGTATTTATTAAGAACATTTTATAAGGACTAAAAACATTATGTATATAATTAAACAAATGTAATTATATATCTCAGAAAATGTATTTGAGGGGAAAAAAGTAAATTGGACTAATTTCTTCAATCAAAAATGTGAACTCTGTTGTTTACACTTAGATGTGCTGCAAATGAAAAAGAATAAAAGAAAAATTAAGGTGGTGAAATTTTAAAAATAAGGTAATGCATGCTAATAACAAAGAGTGTTACAGCAAAGGTTTGTCCTACAAATTAAAAAAAAAAAAATGAGGCAGGGAACCCTGGGGTAGAGTTCCTATCATTTGTTGCCTAGGCAATGTGGCATCCATGAAATACTTCTAATATTTTATTTAATTTTTTTTTTAATTTTTTAAAGATTTTATTTATTCGACAGAGAGAAGGACAGTGAGACAGGGAACACAAGCAGGGGGAGTGGGAGAGGGAGAAGCAGGCTTCCGCTGAGCAGGGAACTTGATGTGGAGCTCGATCCCAGGACCCTGTGATCATGACCTGAGCTGAAGGCAGACGCTTAACAACTGAGCCACCCAAGCACCCCAATAATTCTAATATTTTAATGTTTAACTTCTATTTCCACTTTTCGTCCCCTTGACGAAAAGAAAATTGTTTGTCTTTTAAATTTTCCATCTTAAAATGATTAATATTTTTGTATGTATGTTGAGTTTAGCATCATCCCAGGGAGCATATATACATGGGATGGGAAATTTTCTCCTATTAGGCAACCAAATTAATGCCATCCATCACAATCCTCGTGAAAAATCACATGGTCTTATCAAGATGTGCAGGAAAAGGGGCACCTAGCTGCTCAGTTGGAAGAGCATGCAACTCTTGATCTTGGGGTCATGAGTTCAAGACCCATGTTGGGTGTAAAGATTACTTAAATACAAAATAAACTTAAAAAAAGAGATGCAGAAAAGCATTTCACAAAAACCCAACACCCATTCATAATAAAAACTCTCAGTAAAAAGGAATAGAGGAAAATTTCAATTTGATAATATCTACAAAAATCTATAGTTAAAATAATATGCTCAATGGTGAAAAGCCTGAAACTTTCCTACTTAGATAAAGTACAAGGCAAGGATGACTCCTCTTACCATTCTTGTTCAACATCATATGGGAAGTCCTAGCTAATGCAATAATACAAGAAAAGGAAATAAAAGGTATAGAGATTGGGAAGGAGAAAATAAAATTGTCTTTGTTCACAAATGACAAGACTATATATATGGAAAATCTGAAAGAACTGACAAAAAAAAAACTGCTGGAACCAATAAGGGATTATTGCAAGGTTGCAGGATACAAGGTTAATAATATATAAAGGTCAATCACTTTCCTATATACCAGCAATGAAGAGTGGAATTTTAAATTAAATACACAATGCCATTTACATTAGCACCACAAAAAATTAAATTAATTAAGTTAATCAGGGATAAATAACAACACATGTATAAGATCTACATGAGGAAAACTACGAAATTCTGAGGAAAGGTATCAAAAAAGAACTAAATAAAGGGAGAGGTATTTCATGTTCATAGACAGGAAAATTCAATATTGTCAAGATGTCAATTCTTCCCAATTTCAGTTTTAAATTCAATGTAATCCCAATCAAAATCCTAGCAAGTTATTTTGTGGATATCAACAAACTAATTCTAAAGTGTGTATGGAGAGACAGAAGACCCAGAATAGCCAACAAAGTATTGAAGGAGAAGAACAAAGCTAGAGCACTGACACTATCTGACTTCAAGACTACAAGCTACAGTAATCAAGGCAGTGTGGGACTGGTGAAAGAATAGACAAATAATACATCACTGGAACAAAATGGAAAGCCTAAAAATAGACCCATACAGTGAACTGATCTTTGACAAAGAAGGAAAGGCAATGCAATGAGGGAAAGACAGTCTTTTCAATAGACGGTGCTGGGATAATTGGATATCCACATGCAAAGAAATGGATCTAGACATAGACCTTATACCCTTCACAAAAATTAACTCAAAATGGATCACCGACCTAAATGTAAAACGCAAAACTATAAAAGTCGTATAAAATAACATAAGAGAAAACCTAAATAACCTTCCATATGGTGATGACTTTTTAGATGCAATACCAAAGGCAAGATCTATGAAAGAAAGAATTGATAAACTGTACTTCACTAAAATTAAGAACTTCTGCTCTACAAAGGACGATGTCAAGAAAATGAGAAGACAAGCCATAACTGGGGGAAAATATTTCCAAAAATTACATTTGATAAAGGACTGTTGTCTAAAATATGCAAAGAGCTCTTAAAACTCAACAGGAAAACAATGTGATTAAAAAATGGGCCAAAGACCTTAACAGACACCTCACCAAAGAAGATACACCAATGGCAAATAAGCACAAGAAAAGATCCTTTACAGAGTATCATCATATCATCAGGAAATGAAAATTAAAAAATACTAAGATACCACTACAAACCCATTAGAATAGCCAAAATTTGGAACACTGACAACACCAAATGCTGATGAGTATATGGAGCAGCAAGATCCCTCATTCATTCCTGGTGAGAATGCAAAACAGTATAGCCACTTTGGAAGACTTTTGGTAGTTTCCTATGAAATTAAACATATTCTTACCATATAATCCAGCAATCATACTCCTTGGTTATGATCCAAAGGAGCTGAAAACTTATGTCCACACAAAAACTTGCATACAGATGTTTACAGTAGCTTTATTCATAATTGCCAAAACGTGGAAGCGACCAAGGGAGGAATAAATAGGTGGAGCACTGAGAAGTTTTAGGGCAGTGAAACTACTCTGTAGGATACTATACATGTCATTATTCATTTGTCTAAACCCACAGAGTGTACAACAACAAGAGTGAACCCTAATGTAAACAATGAACTTTGGATGATAATGGTGTGCCAATGCAGATTCATCAGTTGTAACTCTGGTGGGGGATGCTGACAATGGGCCAGGCTATACATGACTGGTGGCAGGAGATATTCGGGAAATCTCTGTAACTTTCCCTCAATTTGCTATGGACCAAAAATTGCTCTAATAAGTTTATTTTTAAAAAAACTTATTTTTTTTTTTGATCACTGCCTTGAATATCTTTTAGCCAGTCATAGAAATTTTTTTTCTTAAAAGTGTAAAAGCAAGAGCTCTGCCTCTTACAAAATATACTGCACAATAATTTTAGCTTATGGAAATATCAGAGACACTATTAGTCACATCAACTGCACAGTTTTTTACCTCATTATGAATTAAATATATAACTGGACCAATTCTCAGAAGGTAACCTCCTTATATGTTTCTTTTTTTTTTTCTGTACCAAAATATTTTTTTTTAATGAAAAGTTGTCAATTGTAGTAGTTAACAAGGACAAAATTGCAGGTGTCTTTATGTTCCAGCATATAAGCTTAGGTTGAGCATTCCACTGTTTCTAAGATGGCTGTCCATATTCAAAACTAAATCTCTTTTCTTTACTAGGTCAGTGCTTACCTACATCTTTCTAAAACCCAGGGAGTCCATTGACAATAAGATTAGAAGAACTGATTCCTCAAAAAAAGAATTTTACTAACAAACTTGATGACTGCTGTCCTAGAAAATGTCCTAGAGCTAACTCTAATATTAAGGAAAAGCATGAGGAAAAGGTGTAAGAAACAAAGAAATAAGGACATTAACTATGAAGATTATGGGAGAGTAGGGAGGCAATACAGAGATTAGAATACTAAGAAACTTGGGTACAAGGGTTCAAAGTATTCTCTCTCAATAAAATATTACAGTCTCCAGTTTTGTAAAATCTCTGCTCCATGAGGTCCTGGGGCCAGCTAGATGATAAATGACTTACTTTCAGCCATTTTCCTAGAGTTCACTCTATAGTCAGGAAGGAATGGTTCAGGGATCAGACATAGCCACTAAATGACTTTAGTATCAGAATCTTATCTCTGAATTCTTCACAGTGATTGGTAAATCTTCATGGTTAGAATATTAATCTCTAGTCTTCTTTTCCAGTTCATTCTTCATAGACCTAGGGATATACTTGTAACTCCTCACTGACTGTAATCCGAAGGTTAAGAAAAGCCTTTCTCTTTCATCAAAACCACCTTAAGGGCAACTTATAGTGCCAGTCTGATATTAGAACTCTATAATGCTAGCTTTTTAACCACGAAAGATACAAAATTAGTTACTTTAAGAGTCTATATTTTTTCATTATACTTAGTCAGCAATAACAGACTTGAAAATATTCTGTAGAACTCATAAAAATTTACCAGCTTAAAATATTCTGAACTTCTATATTTCAATGTTCTAATGTGATTTTAACCAGATAAATGGGCCACATCAAAACTGTATATTGCCCAAATAGAGGCACCTTCAGTGGCAGAAAGGGCTTTGCTATTTATTTTTTTTCTTCCTTAATGGTTTGTATTCAACCATTTTCAGAAAAATTCCAAGGCTACCAATTGATCTGATTTTTTACAACTTAACTTGTGAAATTCTATAGCTCTACTGAGCTTCTTCAATATAATCATTTAGTAGTTTCCTGACTTCAGATAAAATCAGAACCAGCTCATGAGAATCAGGAAAATCTGTTGTTCACATGGGTACTACATAATTTAATTCCCTACTGCAATGAGTTTTGTCCCCCTTTGGGGCCTTATCGAACACTTGTCCATAAGCTCTGCCTGCATCTCTCTACCTCTCCTTTCTTGCCAAATAGATTTCATTTATGAGATTTTGGAATATGACTTCCTCTGCATAGCCTTTTCTGATTTCTTAAAACTATATTAGCTTCTCCTCTGACAGACACAGCACACTGTTCTTGTCATTCACAGGATTCATTAAAATTATAATTGAATACCCAGATACTTAATCAATAAATCAGTTAAATGAATGAATTTATTCATCAACATGGAGGAATTTCCTCTTGATGGCAATTTATAGATGTGGCTTTCTCTATTATTTTAACATGATTATATCCATGCTGGAAATATTTAGCCTCCAAGAATTCTTATGCAGAGTCAACTTAACTTCCATCCTAATACCTCTTAATACTTTATCTTGTGAATTAAAGGTCAGTTAAACATTTTTTAAATCAAACATATATTTCCTGTTTAAATGTAAAACTGTGATTAAGACACTCATTTGTAATCTACTCTTGATGCATAGCAAAAATACGATAAGGGTTGCTACAGATAATTTACCAGGTAGCAAGCAGAGTCACCATGTTAAAAAAAAAAAATCTTATAGTGATCTAAATCTTGTTCCCAAATGAGTAAGATTAGTTTGGTTAATAGACATACACTATTAGCTCTTTTTGTGGGGGTGGGGGAGAAAGCATAAAGGAGCTTTGTGAAGTTTATAAATCATCAATGTATGTATTACACGTGACAAAGTAATAAGCAAAACAATCTGTAGGTGGAAAAGCCAGAAAAGGAATGCAGAGTTTTTAGGGAATGACTCAACAACTATATCTAAATGACAGGATCAATACTCATACCACAGATAAATGGAACATCATGTAGCTGATGAGAATAAAAATCTGCTATATATTCTATATTACAAGGTACCAGATTATCTTACCAGAAACTTTCTGTATTACTTCATTAACTTCCTTCATGAACACTTTCTGTACAAATACCAAGTGGTTTAGAAGATCAGTTGTGAGATTATGTTCAAAGGAACCAACCTGTCAAACAAAATCAGAATTATTAGATTAACAATACTGACTGTATTTGTTGTAACTACATCTTTTGCTCACATAGGTCATCCCAAACTCTGAAAACAATGAATTATCTACATATTCTTCGAAAAAAGGTTAAAAAATATTCAGATTGCCCAACATTTACTGGTCTGACATTATTATGGGCCATTCCTTAATTTTTTTTAGTAACAGTGGCCAATAAAGTATCTTTCTTCTATCTTACAAAAGAATGAAATTTATACTTTATGTAACCTGCTAATTTCAAAACTAAAATTTTGTCTAGAGTGGTATTTTCAATGACTACTATCATATTGTTAGAACCATGGACAAGTATTAATACACATGAAAGTAAATTTATTTGCACATTCAAATACTTATTGGCCATCTACTCTGTGTACCTCGTTAGATGCTAAGGATATAGCTGTGAATAAAAACAAAATCATGGCTCTCAAGAGGCTTACTTCGCATGAAATAGCAAATCAGATATACTCAATCAGCTTTAATATATGTCCTATAATTAGTATAAAGCATAAGATTTCTGGGAAGAATTAATTGATAGATTAAATAGAAAGCAGGTCCTAATTGAAGTTGAGTATTATAGTAAAGATAGATTGAAACACCCTTATGAGTAAGGCAAATGCTTCAAATTTACCACTTTGTTAGCATTCATATTTTGATAAAAAGTAAAGCAAAATAGATTTAGTAGTCTTTACTTAAATGAGAAGTTACATAAAGTCTAAGTTGCACTAGCCACTTTTTTTTGTATAGCATAGTACAGAATGGGCTAAGATGATTTTCATGTGTATTTATTTCAAGCCATAGTAAAACAGGCAATGGTTTGAGGAATGCAACTTTAGATTCTTTCAAGAGTTTTTAATTAACTGCATTCTTAGCAAATCTGGGATTGTGTTCTTCCCCAATTACAAACTTTATACCTTTCTAATAGCTAATATCAGTAAGGAATTATGCAACATACTGCATCAGATCTGTTTTATTTTCTGTCAAAAGAGGCATTAAGAATAGTATTGCTAGAGTCTGAAGCACTTCTTTTTCAGAATAGAAAGCACAAATGAAATATGCTTTATAATCTACCTTTTAAATAAGTATTGGACTTCTAGAATCTTGTACACTATTTTATTTGTACACTCATTTTTCACATAAAGAAATACCAACTTTTAGAGAGGTGCTAGGGTAAGCAGCATCTAAAGAAGGTAAACCTGTATGGTGACTAACATAACATAATAAAAAATAAAAAATAAAAAAAAAATAAAGAAGGTAAACCAGACTTAAGTATCTCCCATAGCTGTAATATTTCTAGCAAAGAACTCAAAGAACATTCTCACACATACTTGACATTCTAGAGAATAAAACTTATAAAAGAAATAGCTAGAAAACTGCTTTTTCAAGATAAGTCAATCAGAGAAAGACAAGTATCGTATGACCTCACTGATATGAAGAATTTGAGAAACAAGACAGAAGATCCTAGGGGAAGGGAAGAAAAAATGAAACAAGATGAAACCAGAGAGGGAGACAAACCATAAGAGACTCTTAATCTCAGGAAACAAACTGAGGGTTGCTGGAGTGGTGGGGGGTGGGAGGGATGGGCAGTGATGGGTGATGGACATTGGGGGGGATATATGCTATGGTGAGCACTGTGAATTGTGTAAGACTGATGAATCACAGACCTGTACCTCTGAAACAAATAATACATTATATGTTAAAAAAAAAAAAAAGAAGATAGTAGGAAGGGAAAAATGAAGGGGGGGAAATCGGAGGGGGAGACGAACCATGAGAGACTATGGACTCTGAGAAACAAACTGAGGGTTTTAGAGGGGTGGGGGGGGGGAGGGTTAGCCCAGTGATGGGTATTAAGAAGGGCACGTACTGAATGGAGCACTGGGTGTTACATGCAATCAATGGATCATGGATCACTACATCAAAAACTAACAATGTAATGTACGGTGACTAACATAATAAAATTAAATTAAAAAAAAAGAAAACTGCTTTTTGATAAAGTTGCAATTATTTCTGAAAAACTGACAAAGCAAGCTGAGAGACAGCCATGTGTATGAATCCTACATTACTCAGTTGATAGCGGAAAGATTTAGGGAAAGTTATTTAATTTCTCTCAGCTTCAATTTTCTACTGTATTAAATTAGTATAATAACAGATGACCTGCTTACCACAAATCAAGTAAAAAATATGTATCGGAAGGTTTTTTAAACTTACGACAGTTGTACCAATATTAAGTGAAAAAATGATGGAATCAGGTATGCTGGTTTTCAACTTCCCTTAGTAAAGAAATTAGTCTGAATTTAACTGTAATTATTTTATTTGTATGACCTGCAGATTGTTAATAATTATGAAAAAAAGATTGTTAATAATTATGTATTCCTGATGAATCATGTAACCTCCTGAAAGCTCAGTTTTTTCACTTACAAAATGAGAACAAATATATCTGCCTCTTAGGATTGATTTAAGTATTATACAAGTCAATGCATATAAATGCTATTAGTTTTTTTATAGTCAAATGAACCATAAAGTATTAAAGAGATGGATATGAAATCTAATGTAAGAAATACAAATTCAAACATGACTAATCAAAAAAGCATATTTACATGAAACTAAAGAGAGACAGACAGATATATACACACATGTGTACATACATACACCCCAGATTTGGTATAAAATTCTGTGGGAATAAATGATATAATGATTTGTCTTAAAAGTTTGGTACACCTAAAGCTTAAAGATTTCTAAATGACAAAGTATAAGAAAATTAAAAAGTAGACTTACTTCTGCCACACAACGTAGATAATTTCCCTGTAAATAGTACCCTTGTTTAGAAGGTAGTTCATCAATACTCCACACCTGATCTGAATAACTATCATGTTCTTCCATTATATATTTCCCTGACATAGTAACAGGAGGAAGGTTGAGACTAGCAGAAGGAGGAATGGTTGACATATCTGTGGCAGAAACTTTTGAAGTAAAACGTAATCTGTGATTTGGCAGCTCAAATGTAAACCTGGTCTGTGCACCTGTAAGAAATAAGAAAAGTTATTGTTTGTTTGTCAGGTGCTCATTCACTCCTTTGTTCAAAAAATTGGTTTCTAAAAAAATACATACATATCCCAAATAAAATAAATCCTTACATATATATTTATGAGTACTATAAAGAATCAGTATTATTAAGCCAGCAAGTATTATTTATTAAGCCAACCAGGTGCCAGAGAAACACCCACAAATGTTATTTCATACAAAGTAGAACAGAGAGGAACTGCCCTTATCACAGAAGAGTTATAACAAGAGAAATTAAGTGTAAAAAAAATTCTAATCCATATTCACATTCATTCTGCTTTACTAACAGAGAGGTTAGCACCTAACAACTAGCCTCCTGATCCTGATTCAGTATGGAAGGAAATAGTGAAAACTGTCAAATCACTGTACTCACTGAAAACATTCATCAGGTATAAAATTATGCAAACACATATATTTTTTTACCTTAACAATAACTATTAACAGGACCATATACCAAATAGGGACATGGTATGAGTTTTAATTTACTAAAACTACTGTTGGTTCTAAACACTTAAATCAACAATTTGGCATGCAGTTGTTTAAATAATTATAAATGTACAACCTATACTGTTATTCGAGCCATATTTCTCCAGCTGTTTATGAAGGCATTAAGGAGTAGAAGAAGCCTTGTTAAAATCAAGATCTATCATTGCCCATTGCGCTCCTTTCCAACCAACAAAGTCTTACACCGTTCTATACGTTACCAATTCTCTCCACTCAAACATCATTAAATAGCCTATTTTGCCTACAATACATATTATAATTTAATAAATATTCCTAGTGTTCTCAATTGTGCCAGAAATTTATTCTCTTTTTTCAAAATACTAGTAAAAGATCACTCCTGTATGTTACATTTGCTATTCACTAGCTATACAATGATGTTTATACTTGGAATGAGTTAGGCATAAACAGAAAAAAGCTCTTTCACCAAACATTGCATGCAACTGTGAATGGCCAGATGGATCATGACTGCTCTGATCTTCTCTTACTAACTCCAACCAGGCAGATTCAGTGACCATCACTTGCAGGATGCAAAGGGTGGTGGGCTACCACAGAAATTAAAATTTGTACTACTACCACTAGCATTACCAAATAAAAATATCAAGATTGAAGTAATCCTAGGCCTCAGGTCATCCCTTATCACTAGTATAGTCACTCTTTTACTATTTTTGTCCCTCTCCTTCATTTCAAGAAGAACTATGTGTTCTTATCTAGATATTTGATAGTACATTTACTTTGCTCCTAAATATTCATTTCTTCCTAGTTCCAACTGCCTATTTGGCTTTTGACTTACTGTCTCTGTTGAGTCTTGTATTTCACGGATGCCCTGAATAAATGGCCAAGATGAGTCTAATTTATCGTCAGGCTAATATCTGAAGGCCTAATACTTCTGACTCTGCCAAATCTGGAAGCTCCCTTCATAGTGCTTCTCTTTCTAGTAACAGAAAGACCTAGATGTTCAGAAAAGTCCCTCTCTATAAAGAAAAGTTAAAATGCTAGGAGTAGGAATAAAGACATACATGTAAATATATATAAATACATATGTGTACATATTTACCTATGCCAATGTATGCACATTTTTAAATTGGTAATACAACTTATGTTAATGGTATAAAGGAGAAAAAACATTTTAATTTCAATAGACGTAGAAAAAAGCATCTGATAATATTCACCAATTTTTCCTCATAGAAACTCTTAGCACACTAGGAATAGAAGTCAATTTTCTTCACCTGATAAAGGGAATCTAGCAAAACCTTACAGCAAACATCACATTCATTGATGAAATATTGATTCCCTTAAGAAATAAGAGTAAGACAAGGATGCCCACAATACCCTTTCCTGAACATTGTAGCAGAAGCACAATAAGAAAAAGAAATAAAAATTTTTAAAGACTGGAAAGGAAGAAACAAAAGTATCATTTGCACATGGTACAAGTATCCACCTAGGAAACTCCAAAGAATCTTATTGGCAATAAAAAAAAAAGTTTACTATGGTGCTGAGTATAAAATTAACATAAAAGGATCAAGCGCATTTGTATATCTCACCACCAGTTTAGAAAATTCCATTTTACAAAATATCCCATTCATAGTAACTAAACAACAATAACAATAACACAAGGTACCCAGGAATCTATGCAAATAAATATATTTTGTAACAGAGGCACAAAAACCTTTGGCTGAAAAATTTTAAACTTTGCAGAAAAACAGTGAAGAAGACCTAAAGAGACACAAAGAAGAACATATTCAAGAATGGAAGGGTTAAATACTGCATCAATTCTTGGTATTAATCAATATTGTCCATTCTCTGCCTGGGTGGCTCAGTTGGTCAAGCGTCTGCCTTTGTCTCAGGTCATGATCTTAGGGTCCTGGGATCAAGCCCCACATTGGGCTCCCTGCTCATTGGGCTCTCCCTCTCCCTCTGCCTGCCACTCCCCACTGCTTATGTTGTCTCTCTCTCTCTGTCAAGTAAATAAAATCTTTTTTAAAAAAATAAAAACAAAAACACAAAAAATATTGTCAATTTTCCCCAAGTAAATCTACGGATTTAATTACATTCTTATAAGAATCGAAATAGGCTCCATTCAGTACGTGCCCTCTTGAATGGAGCACTGGGTGTTATACGCAAACAATGAATTATGGAACAGTACATCAAAAATTAATGTAATGTATGGTGATTAACATAACATAAGAAAAAAATAAGTAATAATAAAATAATATAAAGGTTAAAAAACAAGAATTGAAATAGGCTTTTTCAGAGAACTTGACAAAACTGATTTCTAAAACGTGTATGAAGAAGCAAGTAATTAAAAACAACCAAGATAAATCCTTAAAAAGGAAATGTCAGGTAGCAATATGAAACTGTAAATAGGTGGTGCAAATAGGTCACCAATAATGGTGCAAATAGGCCAATGAAGCATAATAAAGAACTCTGAAACAGACCCCACATATATCAGCACTTAAGAGATGAGAATAATGGACTATGTATCAATTGAAAAAAAGGACAGATCAGTCAATAATTGATGCTGTAGTAACTGGTTAGACAAATCCACACCAAATTAAAAAAAAATAATTCCATATAGATTAAGAACTTAAAAAATAAAATTTAAAAACATTTAACAGAAAACATGAGAATAGCTTCATATCCTGGGAAGATAAGGATTTAAGATATAAAAATATACATCATACAAGAAAATACTGGTAAATTCAATTACTTTAAAACTAAGAATATTTGTTGGTCAAAAGACAAGTGAAATAAGCCTCTAATGAAATGACAATGTATGTTAAACTTATAACATTAAAAGTTTAACATATAAAACATATCAAGAATTCCTGTGAACAAAAAAAAATACAAATGATTCAATGGTAAAATGGGCAAAAAACAGTAACTATCAAGAGGCACTTCATAGCGGCACCTGGGTGGCTCAGTTGGTTGAGTGGCTGCCTTCGGCTTGGGTCGTGATCCCGGAGTCCTGGGATCGAGTCCCTCATTAGGCTCCCTGCTCGGCGGAGAGCCTGCTTCTCCTTCTCCCTTTCCCTCTGCCTGCCTCTCTGCCTACTTGTGCTCTCTCTCTCTCTCTCTCTGTCAAATAAATAAATAAAATCTTTAAGAAAAAAAAAGAGGCACTTCATATAGGAACACATATAAGGATATCTTAATAACAACAAAAAAATCAGCTTAATTACAGAAATACAAATTAACACCACAATGAGCTACCATTCCACATTTACCAGACAAAGCAAAAATTTAAAAGTCAGAATATACCAAATGTTGACAAGGATGTGGAATAATGGGAACTCTCATTTAATACTGGAAGGACAGTAAATACTGGTGAACACAAGTACTTTGGAAAACAGTTTTGTACTTTTTTTTTTTAAAGATTTTATTTATTTGACAGAGAGAATGAGATAGAGAGAGGGCATGAGAGGGGGGGAGGGTCAGAGGGAGAAGCAGACTCCTTGCTGAACAGGGAGCCCGATGCGGGACTCGATCCTGGGACTCCAGGATCATGACCTGAGCCGAAGGCAGTCGCTTAACCAACTGAGTCACCCAGGTGCCCCAGTTTTGTACTTTCTAATAAAACTGAAGATGTATCTACCCTACAGTCTAGCTGTACCACTCCTAAGTAAATATCCTTGAGGAACTCATGTACATGTACCAAGAGATGTGTGTGAGAACAACTGTAATAGCAAAATATAAAACGAGCCAAAGGTCCCTCGATAGTAGAGTAGATAAACTGTAATATAATCACATAATGGACTATTAGGTTTCAGTGAAAAATGAATGACCCGCAGATACATGAATGAACAGATGAATCTCAAACAAAATGTACAGCAAAAAATCTTCCAATTAAAAAATACATTTTAGTGGAAGTCCATACAAATAAAGTTCAAAACATAAGCCATTTTGAGTATATACATATGTGGTAAAACTATAAAGAAAAGCAAAGGAATGGGTAACACAAAATTCATGTTAGTGGTTATTCCATGAGCAGTCATGAAGAAAATCTGGTAGTGAAAATATTCATTGAAGGAGCCTTCACAGTACTAGTAATGTTTTCATTCTTAGTTGTGTAATGGGTTGGTAAAGTTACAGTTCTTTATTATTCTTGAAACTGTGTGTATATAATTTACACACTTTTGTAGATATGATAAGTTGCAGGATAAAAATACAGCAGCGAAAAATTTTTGGAGAGAGTATATAAGGATCATAATACCTTATAGAAGTAGTTATTTTGAGGAAGCCAAATAACCTCTGATTTGCGCTAAATTCACTCAATGAGAAAATAAACCAAGTTATTCAGACTATAAAGAAACTAACAGATGTGGAAATTTATTTAACTTAAGCTTGGTCAGAAATGGCCTCAACAGTTGAATAGCTCTAAAGAGTTCAAATAAAAGCAGGGTCCCTGCTGGTCATTCAAGGAAGGTGTAACTGGTATTTTTTTACCTGACTGAAGAACATCATTAATGACATGAAAAGTGCTCTGATTAAAATTATTTAAATTTTCATATAATATCTTCAAAACCAAATGTACTTTTTCATCAAAATATTAATTTCTCAAACCAATCATAAATTTAATGAGACTGAATTCAAAATTCAATATTACCTGTCATTCCATGACTTCTCATTCTTCCCATTTTGTATTCTGCTTTCAGAGATGGTAAAAGTGCGGCTCCAATGGCTATACCATCTAACATGGCACTGAATTTAAGAACAATAGGCTTCTTTTCTAAACCTTCGGGTAGCTGAGGAAATTCATTTGTTTCAATAGGAGTCTGATTAACACTTGTTGGAGTTTTTTCAGAAGGTAGGGGCGTTGCAATATCTTCTTTCATGGGCTGTGGGCTATAAAGCAAAAAAAAAAAATCACTTTAAAAAGATGCAACTAGAACAGCTACCGTTTTATTGTACAAAATTATTAGAATTCTCAATGAAAAGTAGCAAAAATTAACTGTAAACAGAGGTTTTCTAATACCAGACCCCCTTAAGGCTTCCTAAAAACAGCCATAGAAAAATGATGATCTAGAAATTAAACAAGCTAATAACAATACAAAGGAATGTTATACTGTCAAGGCCATTCACATCCTTAATGTGAAACTAGATTTAAGACTCATGTTTGTCTGATTCCAAATTCTATGACTTAAGCATTGTGCACTCTATTACTGATGGTAATATTACTTCTGTTGCCACTACTGTCATTACCACTAATAACAACAACACCAACAATAACAATAATTATTTGAGTGCTTAGTATGTGCCAGGTAATATTCTTAGTGCTCTGTGTGTTTTATATCATTTTTCATTTATCTCACAAAAACCTTTGAGTAGGTACGATTATCTGCTTTGCAAATGAGGAAGCATAGCTAGAAAATGGCGAAACCATGATTTTAACTCGCTCTGACAAGAGTCTGATTTTTTTTTAACATTCTGCTGCCAATACGTTATAATAAGGAAGAGTTCCTTAGCATATTTTTAAACTAAGTCTTATGTACACATTTTGGATTCCATACTTCACTGACAGGAGAAACATATTTAAATTATTGCTACTTACTCAACCAGAAATGACTATTATGTCAGAATTAAAGATCTATATAGAATAATTAGAAATATCACTGCTTTAGGACACTGTAAAAAGACACACAAATGTTTTTCTACCTTATAGATTAAGCAAAAGGATCATAATAAAGCAATTTTTTTACCTTTTACTTACCATATTTTTATTAATTATTCATTAGTTATATAGCTTTAGGACCAGGAATAAATCTTAGCAATGCAGACCCATGAAAAAGGGCTATAAAACAGGGAATAGAAGTCAATGTACAAAGGTCCAGTTTTCTTCCCTTTAAAATATTTATGTGGCATGATCATATCCTGCCTTGAACCATGTACAACAATTTCATAGGACAACACAAAACCATGCATGGAATATAAATGGCCACCATAATTTTTAAACTTATGCAGTCATAAATTTCAATGAGTTTAAAGTAAATAAGAATTGATACAGTCCTAGAATTTGTTAATTTGCTTTTTTTTACTACCTCTTATTATGCTCACAAATCTCTGGGATCTCTTTTTTTTTTTTAAGATTTTATCTATTCATTTGAGAGAGAGAGAGAGGGAGAGAAAGAGGGAGAGAGCAAACAAGCAGGGGGAGAGTCAGAGAGAGAGGGAGAAGCAGACTCCCCGCTGAGCAGGGAGCCCACCGTGGGGCTCGATCCCAGGACCTGGAGATCATGACCTGAGCTGACGGCAGATGCTTATTAACCATCTGAGTCATCCAGCAGTCCCTCTCTGGGATCTCTTAAGCTTTATTGATGCAACAGAGAACATTGACAATTGCATTTGTGACAAAGTACTTTATACCCAGTATGATTCTCCCACAAACATACTTTCCACCTGCACCATAGTTCATAATGGTCAATATTTGGATGAAACCCTCTGTCTTCCTCCAAACTATTGTTAACACATCAAAGACAAATTTAAAGTATTACACAGAACCACAGAACTTGAAAAAATAACTTACGCTGTAGAAGGCTGTCTGATAAGATCTGAGATCTGCTTAGATAGTTGGTGGGAACTCCGAACCATCATGCTATGTAAGGTGGCAGGGTGCTGGGGAATGTTGATGCTGATAGCTCCCACTTTGAACACGGCAGCATTGTTAGTCTTCAACCCTCTCTGGGCACTGTAGAGGGCTTGTGACTTGGCAATACTACATTTCACTACAGTTCTATTAATAAAGAAGGAGGACCATTAAAATAGAGCCAAATAAAGAGAAATGTTGAAAAAGTACTTTAAGAATAAGACAATGCTTTTAAATCATTCAATGAACTAAATGACTTAAGATTTTTCAGGCATTTAAATCATATATTGAGGAAATATTTTATAAAAACATTGAAATATATTTATTTTACTTTGCACGGAAAATCATTCTATATCTTTAATAGAGTTTATGGAAGAAAACATGTATGTGCTCACAAGTAAAATAATGAACATGGACATATTACATGTGTACAACACACAAAGTTCCATTTTTACTTTTCCTCCATTCAGAACTCATTTTGTCCCCAATTTATTTTAGGGATATGTGTAACTACTAAGAAAGCATAGATGCTGAATATATAATAAAATACTCACTATACTTCTTAGAGTCTAATCAAAGGAATTCATCAATTATCTAACATGTTGGAAGAAATTAACAGGAAGGAAGGAATTTAACTTATATTTTCCATTTTTTAAAATTTTCAACAAGTGTCAAAGAAATGATAGAAGTCTAATTGATAATAAGTAACTACTCCTTAAAAATTAGTAAGCTCTACTGACACAGACATAAAGCAGAGATATTATCTTTCTTGATTTCTTGTTCTCTTTTACAATGCCTACAACAGTACCTTGAGCATGGCAGCACTCACTGAATTTTGTGAAATTAATGAGCAGAAAGAAGTACAGCAGAGGAATGACTCCCAACACTAGAGCTGTGGAATTCCACGATAACATGTGATGAGTCATGCATGTAGAAGTCATGATGAAGGAGTTTTGACGTATAGAATGGAAAGGTTCACGTCAATGAACTGCACCATTAAAGGCCAGTTAGTAAAAGGATAGCTTCAAACATAAATATTATCTTTCAAATGGGCAAAGGATTGACAATAAATAGATTTAGCAAAACAACATATAAAATGCAAATTTCATATTAACTACAGGTCAGTTCACATACATTTATCTCTACTTAGGTTGTAGAGGATTTGCTGAGAATTTATTTACAGTCTCGAGGACCTAAACAATTTATCATATTTAACTTCTATTAAAATAAGCTTTGAGAAGCATAATAATGGCCCTATCAGAGGTATTGATTATTTACAGACAATGAAATCTGCGTATTATATAAAATTAAAAAATGATTACTGGAGAACAATGTGGCTTTCTTCTACAAAGGCAACTATTTTCAGAGACTATCACAGACTAGGGAAAAAAGTAATCCATGAAATTGGTCTAGCCAGCATGAGAGTAGATTCTGGGATACTGACTAGTTACTGAATTTGAAATCTTTTCTTAAATATTATAATAAATAAAGCTACTTTTATTATCAATGAGATTTCATTTTAAATTCAATTTCAACATAAGCCAGAACACTCAGATGGTGCTAAAATGCAAATGACTTTTTACTTGTGAACAGTATCCATCTACTGAATGAAACTAAACATACAAAGAAGTCTGTCTTGTTATCATGACAGTAAAATTCCATACCTATCTTGCTGTTTTTTCCTTTATAATCTATAGAAGTCTGCTTAAATATTACTTCCAATTATATAAGCATGTATACAACACTGGAATTTCAGGTATATGGCAAAAGTAAGAATGGAAAGCTAATGGGGCTGATTGCTCTCCTATTGTGGATCCTACAATGATATTTCCAGTGAAAATTCTGATGTTAAGGACTTCAGGTACTCTGTGCTGTCCAGCACCAGAGGGCTCCATTCACACTGTAGTCTGTGTAAACAATGCCTACCACTACAATGTGAGTGGTGTTCTTCTGAGCTGGATAACATGATAGACCTATCTTGATCAAACTGAGCCAGAAACTATAGAGGATGTCTGATTAACATTAACTCCTGTCAAACTGTGCGTGTTAAAGACATAAGGAGACCCAGAACGAAGAATTAAACAGTTTACAAGCTGCTAGGTGAATTATCTATTCATAATTTTATTTTAATTCTTGAAGAGAGTTGTCACTTAATCTAGCTCCTACAGTAATGTAGTATATGTAACACTTTTAGACAAGAAAGAACTGGTCAAAATCTCTCTGAAGAGAAGACTATAACAACATGTAGCACCTTAGGCATGACTCATATATACAAAAAGTTCATGGCAAGTGACCAATCTTGCTAAAGAATTCATTGACAGTGTTAGTCTACCCTCACACGGTTCTGACAGATCCACTGTGATCAGCTACAATGACCACCTGCCTAATGAGGCAAGTACTTTTTCCGCATCTTCTTCTACATCTTGAGTCCAGGAAGTAAATGCAGGCCCCATCCTTTTCTATCCAACAGGCTGAGTGAATAATTTGAGGATTTACTCTGGGGCTTCATTATCTCTACTCTATCTCCACCCCTATGTAAGACTCATGTAACAAATACTTAATAGCATTCAGTATAGCTCACTACCACAAAATATCAGATATAACTAGGTCAAAGCAAGCCACTCAAAATATAAAAGCACTTTTACTAAAGCATACATAAAATCTGCCAACAGAGTAGTAAACTCTCATCTTATTTTTTTTAACTCTCATCTTAAAAACAAAATTATAAAGCTGAGATGTGTCAATGTTTTCTTATATTAATGTTTTAATAATTATTTTTGTATTTAGTGAAAACTCATATGCAAGTGAAACTTTTTAGTTTCTATTATCCCATCAAACCTTAAGAAGGATTTATGATAATATAAATTTTAACAGTGAGGTGTCTTAAAAAAGCACAAGCAACACATAACTACAGTGTTAAAATCTTTCAACAACAAAACAAAGTGTGAATTACCAAAAGGTAGCCCTTACCTCTGTGTGTTCCTTGAATGTCAGTAAGCTTTAATCTATAAAAGGACCTACATTAAACTACAAAATAACAACTACATACATTCATAGCCATGCAGATAATTGAACTATTTCTTTAAAACTATTCAATACTATATTAATCACAAAGCCCATGGGGAAAAAAATAATATGACATACAGAAACTCTTGTTTGGCTGTGCTTGTAGGAGATGTAGGAAAATCCTCCAGTCTACAGATGAAGATTCAAGAGAAAGCAGGAAAACAAAAAGGAAGCAAATAAACATTCATACATAAATTAGTTACAGCATGACCAATCATCTGGAATGCTTTTCTTATTTCCCACTTTTAAAATTTTCCCTCAAAGAAACTTTTCAACTATTCTTTTTTAGTTTCATTTCCTTTTAACTGAAATCAGAAATGAAAAATCAAAGTTTTTTATTTATAAAGTTATATAATACTTTTTAAAAATCTGTTTTATAAATACTATGTTTTGCAAGTCTAGAAACTATTTGAAGCCCTTAAGAGATAACAGATAATAGAGATAAAAGGTTCAAGAGGAAAGAGTAAATAAGACACCTGAGACAACTAGGGAAATTTGTTTTACTTGCTGCATAAGTTAAAGTAGCCGTGGTACTTTCAATTTAGGGCCAGCAAAGGAACCATGGAACTGAAGGTCTGTAGCGACATTTAGCAGAAGCACAGGTTCAGACAACAATTCTGACTGTAGGGTTTTAAGTATTTTAGGCACATGCTTTTATCTTTCTGGATCTCAATTTATTGTTCTGTAAAGTGGGATAAAACCACCCCAGTTCACAGGATTCAGATTAGGATTAAATAAAATAATCTATGCGAGGCTCCTGGTTCACAGTAGGTCCTTGTTAAGATTGCAATTACTACATCATAATCGCCCTTCTCCCACACTGAATTATCAGAAAAGATCTTGTCTGTCATAACTACTATAATTTCCTGGTCTTTCCAAACTGCTTAGGAAATGCAATCTGGACCACGTAGACAGCTATAATGAAATATACTCTTTGGCTCTAGGTTTACAGGTCTAAAATACCCCAGCAAGACTTAACCAACCATTTCAAGGAAATGTTCTCCAAGACAGTTATCACATCACCCATGTTTAAAATATGAATTAGAACTGTTACTAGTCAATATATGATTAACACTTAATATTTATGCAGCTGAACAAAATCCTCTATTTAGTCAGCATTTAGTATGACAGATTCACTATAAGATGACAGAACATTGACTAGTTATAATATTAAGAAACAGCAAATTCTCAAAATCTGACCTAAATTATTAAAGCATATTTTGTAGTTACAACATAAAGCTGCTCCAGTAAAAGGAAGTTAGGAATTCAGATATATACTCCCAAGCATATGAACAAAGTCAATGGTTAAATATACTGATAATAGGTTAACGATCTGCATATATTGAAAGGTAATCATTATCAGAACAATTCAGAATAGATCTAAGAGTAGAACTTATAAAGAAAAGGTTAAGAGCAAAGAATCAAAAGAAAAGTGATATGGTATGGTATACTCACTATAAAAAGTTTACCTATATTATTACAAGAGTCTCATAGGCTTTATTGTTAAATTCTTTAAATGAAAAATGGCAAGATACAGTTTTAAAACCCAACATGAATTTGAGTAATGATTACTTAACATAAAATCAAGAGACACTCTGTATTCTTTGACTAAAATTTTAACTATTTGAATTATGTAAGCTTTTTGCATGTTGCATGTTTAACTGAAGTTTGCATTATAATCATTTTTTCTTGTTATACAAACTTACAGTGTACCTGGAGTCAGCTTTTTTGGGGGGGTGCGGGGGTAGTAAACCAATTGTAAAAAGGGAAAAAATTATTTTTCTGAAAACATTTCATTTGGTGATATTCTTAATGACATAGGAACTATAGTATCTGGTAACATAATGTTATACACATCTCAAAACTCAGCATGTATGGGATTCATCCAATGAATTTTAAGTCTCCTATAAAACTATAATAAACAAGTTGAAGAAAATAATAAAAATTGACATACTTACTGTATATTTGGTGTAATCCCTTCAAGCAGCACAATATTAACCCCACCAATATGAGCAGTGGCACACGTTTCAGTCATCTTTTGATGTAAAACATCTTAAATGTAAGAAAAAAGAATATGAAATCTGGAAATAAATTAATTGCACTTTGTATTAAAGCATTTTATCCATAATACATTTGTTGACAAAAGATAATTTAAGTTTTATAATAAAATTTAAATTATTTTGGAACTACTTAAATTTTTTTTTATTTCTATGTATTCATATATATGTACATATTATATGTCAAAGGTGGAATAATGCCAAATATACAGTTTAATATGCCATTCATGCACTAAATAGCCTAAAAGCATTTTAAATCTCAGAAGTAATACTTGGTGCAGAAAACTTGGAAAACTAAAAGAATAGGAAAAGAAACTATATAAAGTGGCACTCTTCATCCATATAAATGGAAAAGTGCATTTTTTGAAGAAAAACTGCCAAGTAGGAATTTTAGAGACATGGCATTGGCTTTTTTTCAGAAAAGTAGCACTACAGTGTTAGAATGTCACCCTACCTTTCATTTTTTCCTTAAGTGTAAAGCTGCCGTGGATCCTCTTCAGTTCTGATTCCATTGTTAGCCCCCCAATGTCAGCCTCCAGGTGAGTGCGGTTCACCATGCCAATCCCAAACACTATCAGAGTAACATGCTGAGGTTCAGAAGTCACCAAGCTACGTTTCCTCTGTGTCTTAGTCAAACTATTACCGTCTTGTTCATTCTCAAACACAACTTTACATGTTGGCTCTGTAGGGCTCCTAACTCCTTTATAAGGAAACAAAACATATGGATTTAGATAGGAAAATGTGAAATTGAAGGACACTCCAAACACCATCTTACCTTTTTTCATATTCCAAACCAGCCCTCTTCCTCACCAAAATTATTTTTAAAATTTTTCAACATTTTCCCATGATCATAGTGACAGTAAATAACAGAGTCAGATATTTGAAAGTAGGTATGTCTGAATCTTTAAGACCATACTGTGTATGGAAGGACAGGAAATGGGGTGACAGATTATCTGAGTGTCATTATTATTTTCTCTCCATGGGTGACTGGCAATTTTCTTGGCATTTCATTTATCTACTTATAACATTAAGAAAATATGATCAACAACCAGTCTGTTTTAGTTTTACTGCTGTTCTAAAAAGAAATTTTTCAAATATAAAGATATCCATTACCTGCTGGTCCAAATGTTTCTGAAGATTTTTCCAATATTCCTGTTGGATCAGAGATAAGTGAATAGAAGTTAAGTAATTTATACATATTCTGCCAGCACTCAGCCGAAGGCTCACTTTGTTCTGACACTGTAATTGAATCAGAGTCATCCATATGAATAGTCATATGGTCCACCACATCTTTTGAACCTTTCCTAGACACTTTTGAAGTTCTTCTTTCAGATCTTCCTAATGAATTTTTGTTTCGAGATTCCTTTTTGTTATTTTCATTGTTGGTCCGTTTGTTCTTTGCATTGTTTACTCTACTGCCACCATTCAGACTTCCTCTAGAACTGCGGCTGAAGTCAGATGAGCGAAAATCCCGATGTTTTCTGGTTTTGAAGGTAGGTGTTGGGGAAGCCGATCCAGCTGTATATCTGCTAAGTTTAATGTCAGTCTGAGTCGCTTTGATGTCATCTATCATCGTACTAAATTGATGAATAAGACGAACCAAAGCCATATCTACATGCTGGCTTATTGACTGACAAGAAATAGTAAAGTTACAGTGGAAGGTATTATAATACCGTTTGTTGAGATCATGAAAAGAAAGAGCACTGGTAGAGTTCTGAGGGGTGCACACTGACTTTTCCATTACAACAGCACTGATGCTAAAGGTTTCCAACATTAATGCTGGTTTGAATTCAAGTGGAGGAAGACTCACATGACCTTGCCTAAAAATGAAGAAAAAAGAAAAAATGACAAGATTTTATTCCCTTTTTCCCAGGGCTGCATGATCTTTATTAGTTTGTTAGCAAAAAACCTACAAGGTGAAACATGTTATAAACCATTTAAATAGTTTTAAGCAAGAGATCAAGTAGAATATGCTTTCTCATGAGGCCAACCTTTTATATGTTGGAAACTAGGCCTTAAATCTTCCCTCTTGATCTTATAACTGACTAGTTAAAATCAGATTTATGTTATTTCAGTGAAGTAATAAAACATTTTTTCTTGCCAATATGGTGGTATACTCCAATGGTAATGGAATTTAAAGTCAATTATAGGTCAATTAGGGTACCTCCCTTAACCATCCTCTCCCCCTCTATTAAACATATTGTTTATATATTTAATCTCTTCGCATTTATATATAAAATTAATTTGCTATTTGAAATGAAACCCTACTGGCTTACTTTGCCAAGATGAAAGTGGGGAGGAAGACAATTGGAAACAAAAAAATGAAAAATACACACAAAAAAACTATGAAAATTATTTGGGCAAATCTTCCTGCTTATCTGAAAATTTTCATGTAGGAATATTATAGTCAATTTTAATATTTAAAAGCCAAAACTGTCTCAGATTTCTGTAAACCAGCTACCAATAACAATAAACCTCGGGGCCCAAAATTGTAAAAAAAAGGTATTTTTTCTTTCTTCTTCCATGTACAATACGAATGTGTAGTCACATAGGTCAAATTTTTCTAATAGAAAAGAGAAACAGAAGTTGCTTTGATGTTCTCAATTTAACTTAAAGATTTTATAGAGAATAATAATTCTTTAATGAATATTGTTTTAAGAAAAACCCCACTATGGAGTATAATCCATGAAAATCTACAAGCTCATAATAAGACTACAATCAATGCTAAGCATGTAGTCAGAGAAGGAAAGACGAGATTTTGAGAAGTGGAATGGACAAGAGAGAGAAGACTCTAAAGAAATTAAAATAATCCACAACTGCAAAAACAAGAATTAAAAACATATAAGGGAAGCAAGAAAGTCTTAAAGAGAGGAGAGTCAAGTAAAAGGGGAAAAAAACATTGGTATATAATGAAGCAGTCACTTAAGACAAAAGTAGCCAGACAGATAAAGAGCTGGCATGGGCACGGTATAGCCAAAGTTGTAAGGATGACAATATCCCAGAGGAAGTGATGCTGGCAAAAAAATTTCATAGTAAAAGGAACTCGTGATGGTACTTCATGACATTAAAAGTGCAAAGGAAAAAGTGTTGGAAACTCATCCATACTTGCAATGGAGTATAGCATTATGTCAAGGTACAGAAAAGATGCTCTTTCTGTATTGTAAGTTATATTATGATAAGATGGCAAGGGCTTTTCAAACTATCCTTTGATGAGATTTTTAGAATTGAAGACACTTTAATTCTCAGTGTTTCTAATGTTTTAAATTTTGATGTACTAAGTATTAGTTTTACTGTGTTTTTCATTTCCCTACACATTTATAATAAGCAATAATAATGTTTAATGTTTTAACAAACATTTTTTCCAGATCACAAAACAAAGGTAATTTTCCCCACTAATCTTGATAATCATTAAGGTCACTTTGTGGTGCTTCAGCTGGCCAGTCACTGTTATGGTATAACACTATGAAAAGCAGTGACTGTCTTATATTTAATAGAAAAGACAACGCAATTTCCATGTTCCTGTGTCATTAGAAAGTCCTCAGATATCGAGACCTGAAACAAAATTTGAGAAAGCTCTATTTTTCTATTAATAATTTCTGTAAAAATGTTTAAACTGATTGTCAAATTATTTAAATTTTTAAATAGAATATTTCAAATGGAAAACATACTTCACTTAGTTAAATGTGCGATACATGTGCATTTTATTTTTAATCTACCACCTTGCAAGAACCTAAATTGGATGAAACGAAGAATGTTGCAAAAACCTCTTGTCATAATTGCCACCTATATCCATATTCTACTATTCCTATCTACATCACATCAGCGAGACCCATGCAAAGTAAAATTTAATGTTCACAAAAGGATTAATCAAATATTATTAGTGGGCATAATATTTCCTATTCAAGCAATAAAGAAACTAAAGAACTATCCCTGATAATAATGACAGTAAAAGATGGTTCTTAACTTTCACCATGCTACATTTAGCATTCCTGTTTCTCATGGCCATACTCTCAATATGACTTCTACCCTGTTTCTAATAGAAAATAATGCAAGTCGACTCAGAAAGGCAGTTAGGAATAATTCTAAGTAAAATATATAAAATTACAATGCATAAGATCATAAAAATTCAGCCATAGCAACAGTAAACAAATTCTGAGGATATACACAACAAATGTACTTTGGCTGACCCACATACACATGCTAACATGGCACAAAATGAAGTCTCAGCATAGACCTCACGACCTAGAAAATCCACAGGTTATTAAAATGAGGTTATTTTTGATAAATAGAAGTTACCTTCTCATTAAGATATTAAAATTACTCTCATTAGCATTAGAGGAAAACAAAGTTAAAAAAAGATACTGTAACCTGTGTACAACATTTTACACAAAAAGAACAATAACACAAGACACCTTCTTGCTCTTTTGCCTTTTCTCTCTTTGGCTGTGTCCGAATCCACAATATCTGCTCTAAGGCAGTCCAAAGTCCCTGAAAATGAAAGGTGTTCTCCAAAGTACATTCGGTAGCAGAGTGGCATTGCATCCTGTGACTGAATCCCTGTATGACTGAGAAGAGGTCTGAAAACAACCTAAAAGACATAACATGTTCATTAATTAGCTTAACTTATAATTCATCATTTACTGTGGCTTTTTTCTTACTCTACCTCAATACATATGTCAATACTGTAGTGTGACAAAAAAAAAAAA